CAGCTGCTGGAGCGCTTTGCCGAGCATTGCGCCCAGCTCCACCCCAATCCAGCCATGGAGCAACGCGCCGCCCGAAAATTGGCGACAAGCGCCTTGCCCGCTGCCGATCATGCCACCATTACGGCCTGTCTGACCGTTCTTCATGAACTCGCCGATGCCGACGCTGCAGCCCTGGACCAGGCCGACGAGGAGGGCGGGTCCATCCCCCTCCCAGCGCCAAACAAAGACGTCCACGAGCCTTCGTCAAGCCTGTCACGCCGCATCTTTGGCGCTGGCGTCAAGCTCGATACCCCCATACCCATCTCCCTGGATGATCTCTTACGTCGAGCCGAAGCCAATCGCGTCCGCCATCGCCGCACAGCCGCCACTGCAAACGCCTCCGCCCCGACCAAACGTCGAGAACCCCGAACCACCCCCTCGCATGGGTCCGGGCACAGCGCAGCCAGCGCCCAGTCGGCCGCAGCGGCTGCACCTCGAGCACGTCCCACCTCCACGACGACCGCCGCAGCTGCAGCCGGCCCGCCTTCTGGCCAGCATGGTGATGGGTGGCTGCTGGCCGCTTGCCTCGAAGCCTTTAATCCAGACGTCAATCTGGCCCAGCAGATTGCCGCCTCCGTGCTCACTGAACTTCGTTCCACAAAAAGCGACGATGAAATGCAATTTCAACTCATCAACCTCCTGGGTGTTGAACGGTTCGTTTGCCGCCTCGCCCCATCTGCATTCAACCGCGCCCCGCTACATTTGCTTCTCCATGCTCAGCCAGCTCTCTTGGTTGGCCCTCCCGTGAGCAGGTTCGATTTGATTGCCGAGATCTTGCAGCATCGCCGCGAGATTGCCGCCGCTCCACTCACCGGCCAAGTCCGCAGGTCAGCTCTTGGGTCCATCTACATGCTTCTGATGCTGGCAGCTCACTGTCACTCATCGACATATTGTCGCTATTTCTCATATGCGTAGCGGTGCCAGTGTCGCCGGCAACGCCAGTGCGCCTCGCGCTCAGCCATCTATTGTCAGCAGCATCACCGTTCAGACTGCCGCTGAAAAGAAAGAACTCAAAGAGCTGCGCAAGCAGGAGAAGCGGTCAGTTGGCGTGGCCAAGCTATCATTTCTGTGTCTCTCCCGCGCAGCATGGTTTCTGCTGCGTCCTGTGCCAGACGTTTAGGCCCCATGTCATGGTCGCCTTTAGCCCCTACTCTTGGTTCAAGGCCTGCAAGCACAGTTCATTTCACTCATACATTCACGCTCCATGTGGTGATTCTTCTGCACAGGCTGGCCAAGGTGGCGGCCAAACAGCGCAACGCAGTGGATGAGTCAGCCATGTCTGATGAGGATCGCCTTGCGGCTCTGCTTGGGTATCGCCCCGAGGATGCCTTGGAAGTCCGGCGCGCAGCACTCGACCGAGCGGCCCAGCAACCTATTTTCACCGCCGCAGCCCAGGCGCCCCGCGCTGAAAAGTATCCCTTTGTCTTTGACTCAAAGCAAGATATTCAGGTCGCTTCCGCCTACATTCAGGGCTCAAAGGTAAGTTTGCTCAGCAACGCGTCAGCCGTCCAGCGGCTGCCATGTCATCCAATACCCGCCTCATCGTGCCGGCTTGCCCGTTGTCAGCTGATGCTCCCAGCCAATACAATTCGCGAGCAAGATGGCCGACGGGAGGAAGTCACCATTCCACCCCCAGAGCGCCGCCCTCCCATGACCTCAGAACGTCGCATTCGCGTCGACGAGCTCAACCCCATCGGCCGTCTCGCCTTTCAGGGGTTTGAAGCCCTGAATCGCATCCAAAGCATTGTATACGAGACTGCTTATAAAACCAATGAGAACCTGCTGGTCTGCGCGCCTACAGGCGCTGGCAAGACCAACATTGCCATGCTAAGCATCCTACGCGCGGTCGAGCAGGTTCGACTTGTTAACCACCGATACTTTTGCGCCCTCTCCCAGCCGCATGCACACCCGAGGGCATTGCTTGCTCATTGTCATCCCTGCAAATATTGGTCTCGCGCGTCAATGCTTCTTGGGGGGTCCTGTTGTGCAGCACGTAGAGCAAGGCGTTATCCAGAAGGACAAGTTCAAAATGGTATACGTGGCTCCGATGAAGGCCCTCGCCGCAGAAATGACGGCGTCGTTTGCCAAGCGGTTAGATACTTGTCGCAGCGATGCCATCCAGCCCTCTGTTCATTTGCCGTGCCACTCATTGGCTCATCTTGCTTGAATTGCAGCCTAGCCCCGCTCAACTTGAGCGTCAAGGAGCTTACAGGTGACATGCAGCTCTCCAAGGCGGAGATTATGGCAACCAACATGCTCGTGGTTACGCCCGAAAAGTGGGACGTGGTCACTCGCAAGAGTACGGGCGACGCTGCGCTTTCCCAGCTTGTGCGCCTGCTCATCATCGACGAGGTCCATCTTTTGCACGACGAGCGTGGTCCCGTCATTGAAAGCCTGGTTGCTCGTACTCTTCGCTTGGTCGAGTCATCTCAGAGCATGATTCGCATTGTTGGTCTGTCGGCCACCCTGCCAAACTATGTCGATGTTGCCGCCTTTTTGCGAGTGAATCCTTACAAGGGCCTTTTTCATTTTGATGGCGGTATGTCGCAGCGCCTGCGCTCCAGGCCCCGTGTTGTCGATCCACGCGTGTCTCTCGGCGTTGCGTTTGCGATTACCGTTTGTTTTCTTTAACATGGGCCATGTGGGTACCCTATGCTAGGGTTTCGCCCCGTGCCCCTGCAAACTACGTTCATTGGTGTCAAGGCCAAGAATCGCTTCAAGGCCGCCAACGACATGGACGAGTGCTGCTTCGAGAAGGTGACTTCATAGCCGAGTGCCCTGCCCCTACTGAGCCCAACCCCGAAAACTAATGCCGGGTCTGTTGGGTGTGGCCAGGTTCTCGAAAATGTTGAGCGTGGCGAGCAAGTTATGATCTTCGTGCACGCTCGCAATGCTACCTTTACCACGGCCTCCAAAATGGTCGAGCTAGCCCAAGGGTACGCGCGTTTTGAATGGATGGAATGGGTCGAGTCGCTTCCTGTCTGACTCTATGTAACACTGCTACCTTTCTTAACCTCATTTCTGCCTTGCGCAGTCAAGGCGTGTCCTCGGTGTTTGACTGTTCCGATGCCGGCGTGGAATACGAGAGCGCTAAGAAAGCCATCATGAACTCTCGCAACAAACAGTTGAAGGAACTTTTCTCCAAGGGCTTTGCCATCCACCATGCGGGCATGATGCGCTCGGATCGCAACCTGGTCGAAAAATATTTTGCCAAAAAGCTCATCAAAGTGCGTCCTCTTACATCCCTTTATTGAGCCACGATTGCCTGACGCTCGCCGCTCGCCGCTCGCCGCGAGTTTCAATCACTGGCTTGTGTTTTGGGGCAACAGGTGCTCTGCTGTACGGCCACTCTGGCTTGGGGTGTCAATCTTCCAGCGCACGCCGTCGTGATCAAGGGCACTCAGCTCTATGATGCACAACAGGGCAATTTCGTTGACCTGGGCATTCTCGACGTACAGCAGGTATGCATGCACCTTTTGTCTTTGGTTTGCACTGTGCGATGGTGCGGCATGGATGTTTGATCACGAATTGTGATGGTGTCTCTGGGCAGATTTTTGGTCGCGCTGGCCGACCCCAATTCGACAGTTACGGCGAGGCATACTTGATCACGTCCCATGACAAGCTGTCCCACTATTTGTCCCGCATCATGAACCAAAAGCCGATCGAAAGCAATTTCAAAACCCGAATCAATGACAACCTCAACGCCGAGGTGCGCTCACTGCTGCTCGTTCCTCTTGCGCTTGGCCCGTCACTTGGTGGGTGCTCACTGGCTCTTGTGCCACATCTTGTCGATCTTTAGGTTGCGTTGGGCACTGTGACCACAGTGGAGGAGGCCATTGAGTGGTTGAGCTATTCTTACCTCTTTGTTCGCATGCGCCGCAATCCAATGGCGTATGGCATCACGCCCACACAGCGGTTCGTCGGTGCTCATTCGTCGGCACCTGCGTCCTGTGCGTCACGTGCCTCACTTGGTGGTCTCTTGATGTGTTCACAGTCAAGATCCCACGCTGCGCCAAGTGCGCGAGGAAATCATCATAGCCAGTGCGCGTTGCCTGGATGACGCTCGCATGATCCGCTTCCAAGAAGCGGCCGGCTTTCTCAATTCGACAGACATGGTGCGTGCGTGCGTGCATGTGTGCGTGCGTGTGTGTACAAGCAGACGCACTTTCACTTCAGCAGCTCGAGGCTTTGTACCTTGAACGCAACTCCGACGTTGCCGGCTTGCCATGATCTGATGAAAGCTCGCGTTGGTCCCTGCAGGGTCGGATTGCCAGCCACTTTTACATCCGCGTTGAAAGCATCGAAACCTTCAATGAGCTCAACAAAAACGTCATGACCGAGGCAGACATCCTGGCCATGGTCAGCCGGTCTCAAGAGTTTGAGCAAATCAAGGTAAACCGAGAAAGTCTTTGGCGCGTTGCCACAACACCGTACGCCTTGATAACAGAACTTCCTTTTGCGCTTTAATCCTGATGCAGTCTCGCGATGAAGAAATGGACGAGTTGAAGCTGCTTCTGGACGACGCCTGCGTGTTGCATCCCGTCAAGGGCGGTATCGAGAACACTTACGGCAAAGTGAACATTCTCCTCCAAGCCTATATTTCGGTGAGTAGGCACGATCAGAGCACCGGTGTGCTTCCCGTTGACTGTGTGGCTGACTTGATATGTGTTTGCGCCGCCCACTCAATCCTTGGCACTGGTCACAGCAAGCACCAATCTACTCGTTTTCCTTGATTTCCGACATGAACTACGTGGCTCAAAATGCCGGTCGTATCCTGCGTGCGCTCTTTGAAATGGCCGTGCGCCAGAATCGCGGTACCATGGCCAGCACGCTGCTACGGCTGTGTAAGTGCGTGGATCGCCGCCAGTGGTATGGACTCAACTCACCCCTGCGTCAGGTACGCTTTGCCTTGCCCCATTTGCTCCCCACCCACGTTTACCCCAGGCGTGGAACCGACAACTACAAAAAGAAATGCACAACAGTTCTGATCTGCCCCTTGCTGGCTCCTATGGCTGATAGCTGGATCACTACTTGAAACCAGAAGTGCTCTACAAGATTGAGAGCCGTAATTTGACCGTGGATGATTTGCGTGAGATGGACAAGAGCGAGATTGCCGATTACTTGCGCAGCCCCGCCATCGCCGAGCGGGTGCAGCGCGCAGCATGGATGATTCCCAGCATCGATCTCGAAGTGAACCTCCGCCCGATTACACGCACCGTGGTTCAGGTTCGTCCTTCGCCTTGGGCCACTTTGTAACTTTGTGGATAATGGCCGCTCACACCTGACATGGTATTGCCGATTTAGGTGACTTTGACAATTACGCCTGCTTTCGAGTGGAACATGAAGTACCACGGTGGCAGCCAGCACTTCTGGATCATGGTGGAAGATCGTAAGTGCCAATCAATCAATGCTTGGGTGGCTGATCAGCAACAAAAGGTTAGCGTCTATAAACTTGCGGTTTTTTTTTGCTCATGTGATTCTTGTGTTTTCGACCCGCTTCATCGTGCCCATGATAGCCGCTACGGAGCATCTTTATCACTCTGAGCTGTTTGCTTTGCACGCTGACAAGTGCCGAAGCCGCAATCCTGAGGACCGCGTTCAATCGCTTTCTTTCACCATTCCCATTTTTGAACCCCTGCCACCACAATATTACGTGCGAGCCATCAGCGATCACTGGTTGGGGTCGGAAACGGTTGAACCCGTCACTTTTAAGCACTTGATTCTTCCCGAGCTGCATCCGCCACACACCGACCTTTTGGACCTGCAGCCGCTGTCCAAGGCGGCCTTCAACGACCCACGCATCGAGGACCTCTATCGCTTTACCCATTTTAATCCCGTGCAGACGCAGGTGTTTCACACGGTCTATCACACCGACCACAACGTCCTTTTGGGCGCTCCTACGGGTTCGGGTAAAACGGTGGTGGCCGAGTTGGCTCTTTACCGCCTCTTTCGGGAACACCCCGGCAAGAAGGCCGTGTACATCGCGCCCCTCAAGGTTAGATCAAGCTCCTAGCACGGCTTTGCTAACCCCTCAGCAGGGTTGATCTCATGTCGATCTTTGATGTGCGCGCGCGTTTAGGCTCTGGTCCGTGAGCGCATGGACGATTGGCAAATCCGCCTTCAACAAAAGCTTGGCCGCCGCGTGGTCGAGCTGACCGGTGATGTCACGCCCGATGCACGAGCCATTGAGCGCGCGGATGTGATTGTGACCACCCCAGAAAAATGGGATGGTATCTCGCGTTCTTGGCAAAATCGTGACTATGTCCGCAAGGTGGGTTATCTCTTTGTTGGCTCTGCCCCTCCTCGACGCCGGAAGCACGTCACTCACATTGGATGTCGAGTTGTTTTTGTTTCGTTTGAATTACTTTCCCTCCTTTTTGAGTAGGTCACGCTCGTGATTATTGATGAGATTCATCTGCTGGGTGGTGACCGTGGGCCTGTCATCGAGGTGATTGTGTCCCGCACCAACTACATCTCAGCACACACTTCTCACAAAGTACGTCGACAATGAACTTGTTTGCCTTTCTCGGTGGAGCTTGAGCTTTTCAGACTTATGTTCTTGTGCCAAAACCGTCTTACCGCAAATCAGGTGCGCATCGTGGGTTTGTCCACGGCTTTGGCCAATGCTCACGATCTGGCCAACTGGCTGGGGATTACTCGCGCCGGCCTGTTCAACTTCAAGCCATCGGTTCGGCCCGTCCCGCTGACCAAGCATATTCAGGGTTACCCTGGCAAGCACTACTGCCCGCGAATGGCTACCATGAACAAACCCACCTACGCCGCCATTCGCACACACAGCCCAGAAAAACCCGTGCTAGTCTTTGTATCCTCCCGTCGCCAAACGCGTTTAACGGCAGTGGACCTCATCTCCTTTTGCGTGGCTGATGACCGCACCAAGCAATGGGTTCACTTGCCGGAGAACGAGTTGGAGGCCATTCTCAGCACCATCCGAGACCCTCATCTGAAGCATGCGCTCAACTTTGGCATCGGCATGCACCATGCCGGTCTCCACGAGCGGGATCGAAAGGTGCGTTCGACAATCACGTGCTTGAAAAGCAAACCGAACGTCGTGTTGTGCAGCTCACCCTTGGTCGGCCGGTGTTTGTAGACGGTGGAAGAGTTGTTTTTGTCGCACAAGATTCAGGTGCTCGTGGCCACCGCCACGCTGGCCTGGGGTGTCAACTTGCCTGCGCACCTGGTCGTGGTGAAGGGCACCGAGTTTTTTGATGGCAAGACCGGCCGTTACGTTGACTTTGACATTACAGACATTTTGCAAATGACAGGTCGTGCAGGGCGCCCTCAGTTTGATGATCACGGTGTGGCTGTGATCATGGTTCACGACGTCAAAAAGCACTTTTACAAAAAGTTTATGCACGAGCCCTTTCCTGTCGAATCGGCACTGGCTGGCCAGCTGGTCAACCACTTTAATGCCGAGATTGTGGCCGGCACCATCGCCTCCAAGCAAGCGGCTATGGACTACTTGACCTGGACTTATTTCTATCGCCGCCTGCTGATGAACCCGTCGTACTACCATCTCGAGGACACGGAGCCCGAGGGTGTCAACAAGTTTTTGTCAGAGCTGGTGGAGGACTGCATCTGGCAGCTCGTGCAATCGGGCTGCGTGGTGGTGGGAGAGGACAACGTCTCTCTGGAGCCAGACGTGCTTGGTCGCATCGCGTCCTACTATTATTTAGACCATCAAACCGTGCGCCATTTCCGCAACGAGATGCGTGACCACCTCAACATCCCAGAGCTCCTCAAGGTTGGTTGGCATGGCATGTGCTTATGCCTCGGACTCAGAAGGGCGTCAATGCGTGGCAGCCTGAGCTTGAACTGACGCGGCGTGTGTGCTGTATTGTTGCTCGACACTGACTGATTGTTGCGCAGATGTTATGTGATTGCCAGGAGTTTGCCGAGCTGCCCGTGCGTCACAACGAGGATGAGCTCAATGGCCAACTGGCCAAGGATTGTCTGCTGCCCGTGCCACAAAGCGCACTGGACTCACCGCACGTCAAGGCCAACCTTTTGCTGCAAGCACACTTCTCACGGTACGCGCAGCAATTTCTGTGTGACTGGGCACAGTGACGTACAGCAGCGTCTCTCTCCTGATCTAATGCTGGTTTGTGGTGTAGTCTGAAGCTGCCCATTCCCGATTATCGCACGGACACCAAGCGGGTGTTGGATCAGTGCATTCGTATTTTGCAGGCTATGGCAGATGTGGCGGCAGATGCGGGTCACCTGACAACCACACTCAACATAATGTCGCTGACCCAGATGGTAGTGCAGGGGCGCTGGATTACAGACTCCTCGCTGACCTGTTTGCCCGGGGTGGAGTCACTACATGCTGATGCCATGGCAGGCTGGCGACCTTCGATTGTATGCCTTCCCCAGCTCATTGAACGGGCCGCAGTTGCTCGCGATGCTACCCAAGCTCGTTTGCGGGAGTTGCTGGGCCAGGATAAGGCGCAACAATGCATGTCGGCCCTGACCACCATGCCTCGGATCAACGTGTCGCTTCGCGTGCTGGATGCCGAGCTGGAGGCTTTGCAGCCTGATACGGCCTACACACTTGAGGTGGGCTCCGCCTGAACCACGTGGGACAAGAGAAAAGCAGGGGGGGGGGTGGCACCAACGTGCCGGCCAGCGGCAAAGGGCGAGTTGTTAGGATCTTAATCTTTCGTTTTTGTTTTTCTTGTTTCTAATTTTTTTTTATCGGATACCTTTTTGTGGGTGTAGGTGCATTTTGAGCGACTCCAAGCTGTCAAGCAAGCTCAGGCCGTGGCGCCCGCGTTTCCAAAGCCCATCGACGAGAGTTGGTGGCTCGTGCTGGGAGACACAACCACGGGGGAGTTGATTGCGCTGAAACGCATGGGCCCAATTCGCTCTCGCTCTCGCACGACCATCCAATTTTACACCCCCGGGGTAAGCCTTTTGCTCCGCTGCGCCTGCCTGCTGGCTTTTCTATTTTTTTTTTTTTTTCCGAATCCGGCCGACACCTGATCCTTTGACAATGGTGACTCGATGCTTTGCCAATTTAGGAAACGGGCGACTTTTCCTACACGTTTTTCATGATGTCGTCTGCTTACCTGGGCCTGGATCAGCAGTACGACCTGGGGATGACGGTCACGGACGCCGAGGTTGTGGAGCATGTGGAAGCGCCAGAAACAGTGGTCAAGCCGCAGTAGCCGCAGTTGGGTGTCTTTGTCAGTGCTGTGCAACAGCGAATGACGACCAGGATGACTGGTTTTACTTCGTTCAACCTCTTGTTCGGGAGGAGGTTCAGCCAAAATTTGAACTCGTCGAGATCCATCGATTCTTGGCCTTGCGTATCGAACATAGCGCGTGCATCACCGTAACCAACGTGCGGGTCGGTCTGAACAACAGCAGCCGCTGATGAATTGTCGTTGGGGGCTGGCATTCTAAAAAGACATAGAATACAAATTTTTAGCACCCTACGCGGTCTTCACTCTCCCAAAATCCATCGCACCATACTTTGGATGGCTCACGGACAACCGAAACGGCCAAGTTCAAAGAACATCACCTCGCCCAAAACATCTGTTAGAGTCAAATCCGGTCAGACGCCGTGGAACCTAACAGCATCACAGAAACTTTAAGACAGGAAGGTCGGGAAACGGGCGCCAGGCGTAAAGTGGTCGACCCGCCCTCAAGGGCTAAGAACAATAATACGAATTAGACATCTTTTACATTCTTCGCACTCTCGTTCAGAATAATTGCTTGACAGTTTGGAGTCGCTCAAAACGCATGACAAGAATATGAATAATATAGCTCAGGTCGAGTTGACTGCCCTCACACGCATGGGCATAATTCGCTCCCGCTCTCGCATGACCATCCAATTTGACACCCCCGAGCTATGAGCTTTTTGCTTCGTAGCGCCATCTCTTTTTTTTTTTTTTTTTTTTTTTGTGATTTTATTTTTTCGACAGTAGTGACTCGATTCAACTGCTGTAGATCCATCAATTGGGTTTTGGTACCCCAATCGAATTCTCTTCCCCTTCGATAACAACCAAAACAAACAGAACCAACCAAATCCCTCGTCCCCTCATGGGACAGACCCTGCATGTCCAATCGCGCTACCCTTGCTGCCCCCCCGACCTGGCATTGCAACACAATTGACTTTCGGCGGTTATGCGCTTTCGGGGAGGGGGATGGCATACCAGCAATCACGAAACCATTCGCGAGCAGTCCGGCCCTCACGGCCACGGAAGGGTGGCGTGCCATGGGCACCGATCACTTGATCAAACTCAAAAGCCTGGGCGAAATATAGTGAGTGAAGGGCCATTTAAGCAGTGTTTCATCCACAGGAGTTGCCAAAGAATGTGCGAGCGTTGTTGTGGCAGGTCTTACCGTTGTGATGTCATCGACGCTACGGCGCAATTGATGTACGTCGCCGTGGGTTGTCACACGGATGGTGCGGTAGATGGGAAGGCGGGTGCAGCCAAAGCCACCCTTGGATAGCTTGAACCACAGACGACCAAACCAGGTTGAGCGATCTCCCTATCAAGGTATGACATCGTGCGGCATCCGGAGCGTGGTCGGACTCGGTGAGGAGGGGCGTGCATATCTTGATGCCTTGACGTCTTTTGTGCTCGTGCGCGAGGCAAAGGCAAGGGCCAAGGACGAGCGACAATCGCTTTGCAAGACGTCTTACGTCACGATGGCCAGCATAAAAAGCATCGCTCGTGACGAGAGTTCGAGAGGGCCGATGAAAAAACACAATCTCATTCATGTTTAGTGGGGCTCCCTCCAGCAGGCGCTGCTCAAGCAGGGGACCCAAGTCCTGAATGGGTGATGTAGACCAAAAAGGCCGGTGAGCCAGTACACGTGCAGCAAGGGGGGCAAGCTTGAAGAACAATGGGTTGAATATCTTTGAGTGGGGCAAAGCGACCAAGTACCGAGCCTGTTGTGGCCAGAGTGCGCCATTTTTCTGGAGGCTGCGCACAGGAGACGGTGTGATGATGTTGAAGTTTGGTGGATAAATCCTCCTCCAGAGCGGCCGGCGCTAGCCAGAGGGTGGCGCTGGGGTATCGACGGGTCCATTCCGGGGCAAAGAGCCAGTGCTGAAGATTGGGGCAAACAATGTCTGTGACAGGACCCAGCGCATCGATTTGCTCGGCCAAGCTTTCCTTGAACGGTACAGGGGACAGGAGGACAAGGTCTGGGCTGTCGGGCTTGGATCTACCGGCAGCGGCGCAATCGCAAGCGGAAAAAAAAAGACGCACACAGCAATGGCCTTTTGGTCAAATACCAAAGCCAATGGCCCAGGACGCAAGCAAAGCAGGAGCTGGAATGTAAGCACGTACCGGCAGACCGTCATGGTCGTATCGAGATCAAAGGGCAAATCTTCGCCCTATACCACATTTACAAACGTTCAAGATCAGCGGGCACGTGGGGGTTTCCGCATCAGTGTGATGCATCAATCTGCGTGTGAGGTTGCTGGAGAAAGAATGCAGGTTGATTGCAGCAGGTCACTTTTCTTGCCTGGCGCAGTCGTTGCACGGCCTCGCGCTCGGCCACCAGCTCTTGTTCTGTTGATTCATTATCTTCTGCAGCCAGAGGCCGTTCGTTTTGCTCCTGATCCCAACAGGCATTGCCATGGAGTGAGCCGAGGACGGGCCTAATAAAGAATGGCTGCAGGCTGCCTGTGCCAGGTGGGGGGAGGCATCGGGCTCACGCACTTTCAGCATGCTCAGCGTGCGTAGCTTGAGCCCCTCATAGCGGAGCCCTTCGGTCTGGTTGGCCCCAAGCTGGAAGATGCCACGCACACACCAGCAGCCTTCTCCAACAGCAACCACACGATCAAACTCCAAGATCGGCCCAGAACCAGGAGCAGCCATGCCGCTGTCACTGGCGCTCATCGTCGCTGCCATCGTCAGTTCCGTCGCCTCTGCGTGTGTGTGTGTGTGTGTGTCAGTGAGAAAAAAATAAAAAAAAATGAAATGTAAGTTTGTCTTCTTGGATCTCGTACGAGCACCCTCTCTCTGACTTTTGCTCTCTCTCAAGCTTATTGATTTGCTGCCGTTTAGTACATTCTCTCAGGTTGTATGCTTATTTTACTCTCTCTCTCTCTCTCTCTCCCTCTCTCTCTCTCTCTCCCTCTCTCTCTCCGCGGCGGCGGTGACGGTTGAAACGGCGCTCGCTCGGGACCATGGAGGGTCACGGGAGTGAGAGTGGCAGCAGCAGTGGGATCGAGTCGGATACGGAGGAGTTCCCTGGTCATGCCGGGTATCGCCTGCTTGGGGATGCGCCACCGCCTGAGCCTCAGGATGATAGCGAGAGCGAGGGCGAGAGCGAAGCAGACAGCAGCGACGACGACGACGACGACGGGCGTCGACAGGAGACAGCTGGCGGAGCTAGCGAGCGGCCTGTGGGCGATGTTGGCGATGCAGACCAGGAGAGCGATGATGACGCAGCGCTGGCTGCTGCCGTGCGGCAGGTAAGATCCGGCTCCCTGACACACCTGCCCACGATGGCTCACGAGCCAACCATCGCGTCACGTGTTGTAGGCCCTCGATGCCGATTTATCGCGGAGACCTCGCAATTTGGGATTGGTGGCTCAAATTCAGGCGACCGAGCAACTCACCATTGCTGCAGTTCAGGCCCGTGAGCCATCCCCCGAGCACATCACTCTGAGCTCAGGTATTGTTGCCTGAATTGTTTTTTTTCAGTTTCATCGAGCCAGTCATGGCGGCACTGGTACCAGGCCATTGCTCAACGACATGGCGTGTCTCCATTCTACTCTTCTCCGATCATTGCCAACAGATGCTGTGGCGGAAATCCGCTCCATCATGTCCCAGGTTCAACTTCCCGTACAGCTGCAGAGCCAAATGTGCGTGCCACCCTTTGTGTCACCGTTCCCTGCGTCTCTGCTTCATTTATCAGAACAATGCTCACTTGTAGTGGGGTGGTCTGGCAGGCGTGACGAGGCCTTGGCGCAGGCAGCCCGCCAGGCCGCAGCCTTGCGAAAAATTCGTGTGGAAACTTTGTCTGCACCTGCAGCTCCGGCCGACCCCGACTTTGACCCTCGCAGCTAGGGCATTGCTATCGGCGTCGGCGCCGGTCCACTGCGTACCTGTGTCGAAATAGAAGTGCACTTGGGCGCCGATTTCCAAGGTATGATGATAATAATTGATAACCGAAGTTTTGACGGCAAAAGGCAAAGAAAAAAAAAGACAACTATCACACTCGCCGGACGCGAGGTGGCGGCGGAAAAATTCAGAACGGCGGTTAACATGGGATGGCACGCAAACACCAGCTCACCAAAGCGGGTGATCAAGAAACTTGACTGTGGTTGGTACCTCGGCTTGCGGATCCGTCTCCAATATGACCAGTTCATTGGTCTCGCGTGTGAAAAATGGTCCTGGCAGGTAGAGTTGCCATTGCGGACCGGCTCGCGAGAACCGCCCCAAGTTGAAGCCATTGAGAAACATGGCACCACGCCCCCAATCCCGCGTGTCAATGTAAGTGTCAGGCACGCCCGTGCCCAGATCAGGAGGGCGCGGGATGAAAGCGCGGTAGAGGCGCGGTGCACCTGGCGTGTCATCCGTTAAATGCCCCATGCGATCCCAGGGGATGACAGCCATCTGGCTAGGATCAAAAGGTAAGGGCACAATCTGCCATGAGGGTGGCACGTGAGCTTGTTCCTCTTCGTCCAGCCAAAAGGCCTCATCAAGTCCTTTGTGCTCTCCAATTGCCTCCCCGTAATTGATGCGACCCGCGTTCTCCACCAGCAGGTCCAACTGCAGCGCACCCTGTGAACACAAGACGCGTGGCAGCATGAGTGTATTTGAGAGGCAGGAGAGCTTTCAAAGCGGTGGTAAAGAAGGGTCTCTGAACACACATGGTTGGCTTGGCATAGTTGGACGAGCAGGCGCGGCTCGTCGGTCTGCCAGCGCGCCGCCGAACCAATTCGCTGCCCATTGCAATAGACGATCACTCTGTCTCGAATGCCTAACATTTTTTTAAAAAACAAAACAAAACAAATCAAGCACAGTAGAAGAAAGAAAGGAAGAAGTGAAAGAGAAAGAAACACCATCTGAATTCCTTTGAGGACCGAGAGTCAGGGATTTGCAAGGCACGCGCAAGCTGACCGTTGATCACCAAGGTTCGCTCAGAGGCCTGGAGATCGAGGTTCGTCGAGTACAGGACATAGCCCTGCCCGTTTGTGTGTGGCAGCTCCTCCATGTAAGTCAGGTGGCTTGCCATCACTTTTTAAACCACAAGCGGTAACGTTGGCGGGAAAAGACACCCAAGAAGAAACTCAGTGCCACGTCCGCGCCAAAATCCATTGGACGAGAGAGCAGGAAAAGCCGTACCTTGATAGGGGTTGCTGTTACTGTGGTAATGGGGACGGCGGGGATGCTGATGGGCAGGTGTTCATTCATCCGACCCTCCACACCTCCGCACCGTAGGACATGAGAACCATCTGAATGTCCTCATACTTGGGGGTCACTTGGCCGTGCTCGCTCAACGGGGCATCGTAGTCGTAGGACGTGATGTCAGGAGCATATGGAGAATTGGCGCCGGCATTCCAGCCAAATGAGGTGCCGCCATGAAAGACGTAGAGGTTGAAGGATGCCCCTCGATCAAGAATCTTTTGCAGGCCTTCGACCAAGTCCTCAGAGTCAAAAGTATGGTGCTCCTCGCCATCGTGATCAAACCATCCCGTCCAGTACTCGGAGACCATCAGAGGTTGGTCTGGCTGAAAGTGCGCCAGCTGATCCAAGTGCCGCTCAACATTGTCTTGAAAATTGATGGTCTGAAGTCGATGCCAGGAAGGGAGAAGAAAAAGCAAGCACCAAAGGTGATGACCAAAAGAAAAGTACACACAACATCAGCGCACTTATCATCGGTTGTGGGCTTGGCGGATCTTGTGCTGTTGCACAGCCAACGTACCTGTAGGGCTCCGGGTAGGGCGCCGCGAGACAATCCTTGAGCGTTGTCGCAGGTGAACATTTGCTCCACAATGCCACGATCGCGCATCATGGCTACCAAGGCCTGCAGGTAGTCGCGGTCTGCCCCGTAGCTACCTACAAAAAAGGCGCCCAGATCGCAGGTAAGCCGACACGGATACGCCATGCACGCCATGCTAGAGTGGGGACAGACACTCTAGCGCCACTGTCAGGTTTCTCCGGACCGTATTCATTCTCCACGTAGAAGGCAATGATTGGACCACCATTGCTGGCTTGCAGGGGCCGAAGAATAGGCATGAGGGCGTCGTAATAGCGCTCAACCTCATCAAGGAACGCATCGTTGGAGCTCCGCAACTACAAAATGGAATCGGGGCGGGATTTGAATGGAAAGGCTAGCAATCCAAATGCACATCGAACAGTGTCTGCCCATGCATTTTGGCTGCCGGGAACAGAGTGGGAGCGTACCTCGAGGTCTGGATTGGCCATCAAGCGAGCTGGAAGGCCACCAAAGTCCCACTCGGCACAAATGTACGGCGAAGGGCGGATGAGCACGCGCAGGCCAACCTCGTGAGCAAGGTTGAGAAAGCGGGCTAGGTCATGCGCATGGGTCTCAAAGTCAAAAGAGCCCGGGCCCACTTCGTGGAAATTCCACGGCACGTCTAAACAAGGAGCAACGGTCGCGCACCTCCGTGAGCGAAATAAGGCCAGACATGGGCTCAATGATCAACGCGCTCACTGACAGGTGCTGATGGTGTTGAGACCCATGTGCTTGGCCATTTCCAGACGGTCGAGCCAATATTCGGCGGGAATGCGAAAGTAGTGAAGGCTGCCACTCCAGATGTCAAAGGGATGGCCGTACAGAAGAAAGCCATTGCTGGACACAGCCAGTGCTGCTCGATTTGATCGGACTTGAACGTTTTTATTGCTGTGCACGAGTGATGGATTGATGAATGGAAGGACGCAGGAGGATGAGCTCGAGCACGTCATCAAGAGCAGAACATGGCAGAGGATCTTTGGCTGGCACGCACTGGAAATGCCGGGCCTGCGACCGGGACTGTACGTGCTGATGGGAGAAGGCTAGGAACACGAGCGCAGCTGCCAGTATGCCCAAGGCCACGCCCAAGATGCGAACGAAAAACTGCATCGTGACCATTCCCCGTCCCCATCCGGTCGCCGGGCTGGGAGGAGCAAGGAAGCGCAGGACAAGGCGAGGTGAGGGACGAACCAAGCGATCAGGCAAGGGGAAGCACGCGGATAGAGCACCAAACAAACCTGTCAGCAGCAACGGGGTAACAGCCGTTCAAGAACCGATGCTCATTAGATCAAGAGGCACGATGACGACCAGTACATCAGCGAGCAGCCCGTCAGCGAGCAGCCCGTCAGCCCGCACAGAGAGAGAGAGAGAGCGACGCTCGGCGCTCGGGTGCTCTTGTCCGCAGAGAAAATACGACGATCTCACTGGTTTCGCTTTTTTAGTGCCAAAAAGCTGGTTTAAACAGCCGTTGTAAACAAAATTTTGGCCCTTGTTACCACTTGTCAATGTCGATCGAACAAAAGACCAGCTTGCCTCTGCCACTCTCTTCTTCTGGTAGCTCAACGCTTCTCTCTCTCTCAGTCTTGCTTACTAGTACCTATATAACATCCGACTTCTGACTGTCTCACAGACACACTCTCTGAGTCGGACGCGCTGTCGCTGACGTCTCTCTGCGGCGCTCGACTTTGCCTGTGTTAGTTTTTCTTTTGTTTGCCTGTGTGTCTACTGGGTTTGTGCGCGAAAACGGCAGACTGGGCTCCAGTGAAACGGCAGCGCCATAGTACAGGCACGAGGCATACGGGTGAAGACGAGCCACCAGAGTGAATTGCGTTGGCCTCGGCATTGACGGGGTTGTTGTAGCGGCACTGTGTGAACGTGTAGCTCTGCAGCTTTTGTATCCCAGTGCCTGGCTCCAGTGCCACGACACTTGTTGGTCTTGCAGTTCATCTCGCATTTGGCAGCGTCAGGATTTGAAACCATCACCTTACCGCCACCATGGTACGGTACAACTCTTGCATTTGACCTGGCTTGCTGTACAGTGCGTCCCCGAGTCAGCCTGTGCTTGTCTCGCCTCCTGCAAGCGTGAAGAACAGTGTGTCATTACGGCCAGCCGGCTCGCGCAGCGGGTTCGGGCTCACTTTTGGGGTTCATGGCATCTTGTCCTCTTAGTCGCACCGTTACGATACACGCACGACCATCTTCTCGCCTGAGGGTACGTGACTAGCGTCTGTTTTGAGCTCTGGTGCCCCTCTTTTTCTTTTCCTTTTTCATTTCAAAATTAGGCCGCACAGCACACTTGAATTATTTCATTTTCCCCCATTCGACTCACTGAGCATAACCCACGATGCCGCAATGCAGGTCGCCTGTACCAGGTTGAGTATGCCATGGAGGCCATCTCGCACGCAGGTACCTGCCTCGGTATTTTGGCCAAGGACGGCATCCTGCTTGCTGCTGAAAAGAAACATGTGGCCAAGCTGCTGGATCAGTCTTCAGCGGCCGAAAAGATTTACAAACTCGACGAGTCAGTTTTGATTCTTGGCCAGCCCTCTTCCATCCTTTGCTTTCTTATTCCCCGCACCCACAGACAGCGTGGTCTTGTTTGCTCGCTCATCGACCTGTGCCCCGCCTTGCCCCAGTCACGTGGCGTGCGGTGTGGCTGGCATCACGGCCGATGCCAACATTCTGGTCAACTCTCTCCGTCAGAGCGCGCAACGTCATCTCCTGACCTTCCAGACTCCCATCCCCATTGAAAATTTGGTCACTTTGGTCTGTGACACCAAGCAAGCCTACACGCAGTTTGGTGGTCTGCGTCCCTTTGGAACTGCCCTGCTGTTCATGGGCTGGGACAAGCACTACGGCTTTCAGCTCTATCAGTCAGACCCCAGCGGTAACTTTGGCGGCTGGAAGGCAGCCTGCATTGGTGCCAACTCCCAGGTGCGACGATGCTCAAACAATGCATGCATAGCACAGCCTATTTCCGAGCGTACAGTCTTATTGCACCTTTCTGACTGCCTCGCGTCCTCTCGCCAGGCCGCCGAGTCCATTCTAAAGACTGAGTATTCGGAGGACTGCACGCTCAAGGAGGCACTCCTTCTGGCTGTCAAGGTCTTGAACAAGACCATGGACAGCGCAAGCCTGACCTCGGATAAACGTATGTCTCCCCAGCCTGCCAATTCGACCGTGCCATCGTCAACTTGCAACCTCTTCAGCCCTGCTTTGTGCATTGATCTGTTTGGGGCACATTTTCTTTTCTTTTTTTTTTTTTAATTCTAACCGACCCCTTTGCCCATCGTTTTAGTCGAGTTTGCTACACTGAGCCGACAGGGTACCGAGACTGTGTTTAGCGTCATGAAGCCCGAGGCTGTCCAAGAGCTGCTCAACGAGGGTGAGGCCATCCGCAAACAAGAGGAAGAGGCGGAGAAAGCCAAGAAGGAGGCACGCGAACGGGCACGCAAGGAGTAGACGTCCTTATCCAGCGTTCTTGTTTTACTGGTTCGCCTTTGCCTTCTCGACTGTTCATCTCCTACTGTACCGTTCCCCGTCCAAAGGATGTCGTCATGTTTGTCTGGTCTGTTCTTTTCCAAGAAGAAATCTAAAAAACAACACACAAAGCAAACAATGCGCAAAGAACAAACAACAAACAAACAGCAAACAAACAAACAACACACAACCAGTTGTCCCTCCCGATACGACATCACTTCACACTGACAAGGCTTGAGCCAGGGGACTTTTTGATCCGGGTTCAATTACATGTAATTAACGCAAGAAATCGTCGGGAAGCTATGCAGAGGCTCTCTGTGGCAGGGTGCGCTAGCGCGATCAAGCCTCTTCCTCGCCAGCATGAGCACCAATGTGACTTCGGATCCTCTCCACGCATTCGGTCAAGAGTCCAGTGTCCCCAGCCCCGCGCTCACGCATCTGCATGCACACCGATGTTGCTTGTGAGAGTCAGATTTGAAAAAAAACAAAACAAAAGAAAGAATTCAAAATAATCGCAGTAGATTCCACGACCAACCTGTTGCTGCACACGTTCACCATCGAGCACAAACTGCGTGCGCATCTTGTCACTGTCTGAAAGGCCTTCAGCCCCAGTCTTGCGCTTGGTTCGACGGCGCCGATACTGTAAGGACTGCTCAGTCTCTTGCACATCGGCTAGCACCGACTCAATCATCTTGACAAACATCTCCTGCAGGCCAGTCATAAACCGGGCGCGCAGCTCTGCGGCGTCCATATCGCTATACTCGTAGCTCACAACACGATCATACAACAGAAACGCCTCGGATGTATATGCCGAAGCTTCCGTGGGGGCCTGCATTTAAAAGGCAGAAGACAAGAGACGACTGTCAAAATGTCGGCAGTCTTGGCTAAAGCCGCCCAACGCCGGCAGCATCATGGTTGATTTGGCAGAACGTCGCCCCACAACATACCGGCCGGCCCGTCAAGCGGTAAAGGCGAGGTACGTCGGCGCTGGGTTTCAGAGCCACCTCTGCCTCCTTTAATAGAGCCGTTGCAACCGTGGTCAAGACCTCGGTAGGCAGACCTGCGAGATCTTCGCCCATGTGTCGTTGCAACAACGCTACAGAGCATGGAGAGCCGTGATCAGAAGCGTTAGAACACAAACACAGAAAAACAAGAGGGGGGGGCGTAGGGGAAAAAAAGGAAGCCAGAGGTTCACGTTGATAACTGACCCAAACACCTGTCGCGAACGACAGGCTCAAGAATGGCAAGTTGATCTTCCGCAGCAGTTTGCACCGCATGAAGCTAATAATAGAAAACAACAGGTGAGCGGCGTATTTTGGTATCAGCATAGGTCGAGGCGAGTCTTCAGCTATCAGCGTGGCACATACGCGGGGCGGAAGCTGTCGCATAGCGGCCAGTACATGTGGAATGACTGGTGACAGGTAGTGTTGGGCTCCGAGTTCACGAATCGCATGGCGATGCCGTGCTAGCAGCTGTGCCAAACACTTGGTTAGAGAGCAGCGACAAGACGGGCATGCCAAAGTGAAATGCAAAGGTCATGACAAGAAATGAAAATTGCCGCTGCCAACCTGGAGTGTCAACTTCCAGAAGCGATGAGTCAAAGCCGGCAAGAAATAATCCGACTGCCAACATTTCTCCAGCCCCTTGAGCAGGGCTTCGTCGGCTCCGAGCAGAGCCTCTGAGGCATCCCCTCCTTCGGTGCTGGTGGCTTTGGATAATTCCTGCAGAGCCCGCTCCAAGGCACCAGCAATTTCCTGGAACCTGAAATAGGAAGAAGGCCCGAGGCAAGGCGAATGAGGGTGTTTGAATGTTGTCGTTGTGGAACAACGGCCATTATCTTTGCCTGCGTACCGCAACTGGAAATAAACGGGCAGGGTCCAGCGCCGTTCCATGGTCAGGTAGGCGGTGCTTTTCCGAAAGCGCTCCACGGCATTTTGGGTGCTCAAGCACTGCTCGAACTGGCCAAGAAAACTCATGTATGATGTGTAATGCTTCGGTCCAGGAGCGGATGACACGCCAACGTGGGTGTGGCGGGAACGTATGAGGATTGGCGTTGACAGGAGACACAATGGCTAATGGGGAGGGGACGCTCAAAACAACATCAGAGAGGCGGTTCTGAAGCAGAGAACATACAGCATGAAAGGTGGCAGGAATGCCGGGCGAGAAAAGGTTGGAAAGGTGGGTCGTGATGCCATCCACGAAGCGAGGCCAGAGACTGTCAACCAGCACATCATGTTCGATGCTGGCAGCGACAAAGGCTGCGCGATACGCCACAAACTGATCGCGTGCCACGACCAAGATCTAATTGTAATTGACCAGGGCCGGGAACCACTTGTCAGCGCCTAGTGGTCTTCCGAAAGTTCATTCGAGCTTGGGGCACGGGACCAACCTGAGAGAATAGCGAATCCACGGCACTGCGCAAGTCGGTTGTCGAGGCTTGCTCTTGTGCAGCCTGAAACAGATCCGTGAGGATGGGCACGGTGACAAGCTCATCAAAAGCCGCCACAGCCCGTTCGCGCCAGCCCACGAGCCCAAACAATTTGAGGGTTGCCGTCAGGCGTTCGTGTGCCCGAGTGGTAATGGCTTCATTGAGAGCAGACGACAGCTGTGCAGTCATCCAGATCTCCAAATGTTGCAATCGCTAAAGGACGGATAAGAAAAGAGGTCATGACAATGGGGCGAAAGATATGAAATGTGGCCCTCGGGTCAGCGTACCGGCCGCAGCTCCTTGAGAAAAGGAGTGTCCTGGACCCGGTCCACGTGGTAGTTGAGTTGATTGAGTTCAGTTGCCACGCGATCAATGAGCTGCCAATCCAAACCCCTGCATCGGTGAGAAAGGGAAATGAGGATACGACGAAATTCTGCGCGCGATGAATATCCTTACAAGGTACAGAAATGGCATCGCACACACAGCTACACAGCTACACAGCCACACAGCCACACAGTTTTTTTTTTTGGCCACACCAATGACATCAAGTCTCTTTGTGGACTGAGGACGTACTGCGTGCTGGCGTCGGCCGGGTCCGTGCTCCCGTGATTCTGTAGAAGGCGCTCAATCTTGTCGACGCTGTGGGAAATGTCGAGGAGTCGGCGCAGCTCAACTTCGGCATTGCGCAGGTGTTCGCGACGCTCAAGATTAGCAGAGAGGGCTTGATATTCTTGCTGCACTGTACTCAAAAGCTCCTAAATGAGGGTTTGGGCAGAAGACACACGGTTATTGGCTGGCTGGCTCGCTTGTACGGGTTGCGTGATGAACGAGCTTGGTCCTGGGCCGGAAAAGCAGCGCCAAGCGCCATGTGTTGATTGGCAGACAATAAATACATGGCGGAGGGGCATTGGCCGTAAGGATTCTGGCCACGACAATGGTAAACTTACGGTAATGTCCTCGCGCACAGACTGCAACGGCTCGGCCAAAATGGTCAGGCGGTCATCCAAGCCGACCTGACACCACGAGTGGGACGAAAATGTGAGCAACCAAACACAGCCGTGGCGGAGGAGTGGGCAGGATACTTGAACATCACCAAGCAGGGATGAATGCAATGCCTGCGCGCTCTCGTCCATGGCGGACAAGCTCAAGCCAACTCGGAAACACAGGCATGGCCCTCACCAGGTTGCCTGAAAGAGAGACAAAGTCGGCATAGTCTTGGTTGATGAGCTCGACCACAGCGGCCTGAACCTGCTGCTGCAACTCCTGAAGCTTCTGCTGCAAGGAGGTCAGAGGAAGCTGTTTGCGCAAATTGGCCACAAACCCCTTGGCATCAAATGCCGGATCGGCAAACACCTCCAGCGACACCATCGCCCCTCACGTCCCCGACCAGCCGAGCACCACGACAGTCCTGAGAAGAAAACTGCTTTTCAGTGAAGGAGAGAGAGAGAGGAGAGAGAGGAGAGAGAGGAGAGAGAGGAGAGAGAGAGAGAGAGAGAGAGAGAGAGAGAGAGAGAGAGAGAGAGAGAGAAAGTGAGAGAGAGAGAGTGTGTG